CCTGCGCCGCTCAGAGGGTTAATAACCAGCGTAACCACCAGAATTTTGAATGAAAGCATGCAAACCTGCGTGCATTGTGCCTGATGTCAATTTGTGGGATGGAGTTCCATTCTGGTTGCACTTCATCGCTCAATACAGGGACGGTTAATGCTGGTTGTGGACGATGCTAGAGTTGTTGTCCAATATGTCCTATACATGTTCATCTGGAGAAAGGTCTGGTGAAAGCAACATGTCAACTTAGTGTTGACATCTTGATTTTGAAGCATGTTTGATTCTCAAGCATGTTAGGTTACAACAGCAGTTTGAAGGTGAGCATTATCCTGTCGTAAAATACCCCTTGAATACTCTTCATGAATGGCAGTAGAACAGGATGAACCACCAGACTGATGTACAACTTTTCAGTCAGAGTGCTTGCGATAACCACGAGACCTCCTGATTCTGCTCCCCAGACATAACTCCAGGAGCAGGTCTACTGTATCTAGGCTGCAGACAGGTTGGTTGCAGGCACACACCTAACCTGCTTCTAACCAACACACGGCCATCACTGGCACCAAGGTAGAACCAGCTTTCACCAAGAAGCGCAACAGATCTGTACTACACACTACATCCTTCAGTGAACTTCAGCTTGACACCACTGACATCGCTAATGGCAGTGGTTTGAAGTCAGTGGAATGCATGCTACAAGGCATCTGGCTTGGAGCTATCTTTCAAATAACATTAAGAACTGTCGATTTCTAACAGGTCATTGAATCACTATGGTGCCAACTGCAGCTTGATTTATGCTGCCATGTACCGAACACAGCAATTTTCTCTCTAGTAGTGCCACGCGGCCACCTAAACCTGGTCTTGAGCCAGTATCTATGCTTGACCACTGCTGCCAACAATATCAACAGTGGATTACATTCTTGTCAAGTAGCCTTATTACACTTCCTCGTTCAAACTCACCGGGCTGTTGATAATGGCCCATTCGTCTTTTTAAAGGCGTTCTTGACTAACATCAATTCACTATGTCAAATCTCAATGATAAATAACAGTCACAAACTTTACAGTGCATATTTAACCCGTAACAGGAGAGATCAAATATTGGGATGTAACCGGGGACATGCGGTCACACAGACTGCATCTCGTTATGATTTAAATAAGAAGTTTTATTTCAAATATTAAAATTTTATTTTACCCATACATTCTATAAACCCTTATCTTCAAAGAGAAAAAAAAAATTATTTCACACAGAAATCAATCAACACAAGGAATGTCTTTTCTGCAACATGAACTTTTTTTACGAAAAATAACTTGCAAATGTAAATTATGCAAAACAAACCAGAATAACTATTATTTTTATGAATAATAATTATTTTCCATTAATTTACAATATGATAGATATATTCAGATGAAAAATATAAATATTGTAGGAAACATAAAAAAATGACAATACCTTAACTATCAGTAATATCATTGTGTTCTTGTAAAAAATATCAATTTACTCAGCATACTCTTGTGCACATTTGCGACATAATTTCTGTGTACATACCAAACAAACTGGTGTTTTACAACTTACGCATAAATATGAAGGTTTCAGTTCTTTCTTTTTCTCTAACATTTCGTTTGTGAAAAGGAGTTCAGTTCCCAAACGGTTTTAGAATCAGTATTTTCACCCAATTTTCCATATGCTCTTAATGCTGGAAGATGAACTATATTATATACGGAAGTTCTCACATTTGGTAGAGGTTCAATAGATGACCACTTGAAGCGGTTTCTCCCATAATAATATTTTGTAGATGAAATGGCTTCAGTCTCTGGTTCAGTGATTCATTGTTAGATTCAGAAAGTTCTGATATCGTGGAATGTGAACTTTCATTTGCAAAATCTTTTTGGCATTCATCTTATCGCTAAATTCACTTCTTACTTCATCAAGAATTCTTTGCAGCTCTTCTGCATAACGCGAATCAGAAGGATATATGATATTTCTCCGACTGACTCTCAGAGCCATGTTTCCACCTGGGACAGAAACAGTAGCAATGAGAGGGAGGTGCGGTCTGACATACCGCTCTCAGACGAAGGACTAGAATTTTACAATGAAGCAGGTGCAAAAAATGTTAGTTAATGGGTGAAAATTATCAAGGTCCCAAAAGGAGAAGCTAGCAGGAGAATCCACTCAATCAGACTAAATATAGAAAAGGGATGATAGGAACAACACCTGTAGTGGTAACCGAGACCGCACCTCTCCAGTTACGAGTTAAATTTGCATGTTCATAATGATTTGCATGTCATAGTGGCGATACTAGCGCCACATAGTACAAAATTAGGAAGGACATCATCTTTCAGATGTGACCAAACACCTACCAAATTTCGTTCATCTAGCACAATTCCTTCTTGGTGATGGTTCCCCCCCATCAGTGTATAAAATAAATATAAAGAATGATATCTTGGAATTTTGCAGATACACTGAGATAATTATTCCAATTACGAACAGACATTTATGTCTTACATTCTAAAATTTTGTCTTTATTTCGTTTACTGTATGTATCAATTTTTCTAAAAAATTTTCATTTTAAAAATAAATCCAGTTGCATTTGAAATGAAATCTAAAACAAATACAGTGAATTCTCCAAGACAACCATCATTTTCAAACACAGAATTTTATTAAATTATTGTTTATGCTTTAAAGAAATAGAGCTTCAATAAACCACTTTTATGTAATGTGTTGTCATAATTTGTAATGTGTTGTCATTCCTTTTAGCCAGTTCTCAAACATGTGCATTTGAACCTTCCTGCAAGCGCATACACGCAAACTTTACGACAAATTCAGTTTTTAATGCACATTTTTCGCATATCAAAGCTGAGACATCTGAAGGTTATTGTTATTCCTCCTTTCTACCCTTCCCCACACATGGAACGTGCCAAAAGGAAGTCATTTGACTTTTTTTTTTTTTTTTTTTTTACTGGGCTTTTGTGCTACGTGGCAGCTTTTTCGTAAAGTTTACTACATGCGCGTGCTCGTGAGTGAAAATTCGAAAAATATTTTTTTCTCAAATATTTTGTAATTTTGTGTTATTAATTGCCGTGTATTATTTTAATTTGAATACATTTGGCTCTGTAAATTTTATATCGGTTTTCATGGCAAAAAAATATGTGCAACCAGCTGATTTTGCTCGCATTCTTTGAGAATTATCTGATGAAGAAAAGGAAGACAAGGAAACCTTTAGATGGGGAACAATAGCGATTTCCATTCCTTATTTTTTTTATTTCTATTTTTAGAAATAAATAAAAATATTAAAGTGCAATTTTGTAACCATTAAGAAATAAATTTCCTGCCAGAAGTAAGTAATGCTAAACTTACTTTTTTTCCTTCCAAGTTTTTTTCCTTTTTTATTTGTCTATACTTGCCTTTGATGAATATTAAAATTAGCTTCGATTTTAAAATATAATTATTAAATAATAAATTTAAAATGTTCTATAATGAAATACATTATTGCATTTCCATCTCACTAACATACGAACTTAAAATGCGATATCATTTGTATTTTGCAATAAGATTAATATTTTATTTCTTAACAAATTTATTATCAATGTTCACTCATTTCTATTGTTTTTCGTGCCAAAAACAGTAAAATAACGGATGTCGTAAAAAATATGATGCGCACATACTCATGTAAAATTGCCAAGCTGGAAGGCTCTTTCATAACCAATCCGCCCGCCACGGCCCTACATTGAAACAACCAGAATTGCCCGAAAACGGCCGAGAGTGTAATCTTGTTTTCTTATCTCCCCCTAAGGTATGCAGTAGCAGGTGCAGTTTCCCCAAATGCATTGTATCAGTGTACTGCAGACAGCTTGTCCTAAGAGGTTTTTTTATCTTTTGATTGATCATGACATTTCGTTGTTGATTCTTTTGTGGTACAGATGCTTTTTAGCTTTAAACAGCAATAAAATTGCAGTTTAAAAATTTAAGTATTATACTTATTTTTAATCAATTTATTCCTTCCTTTAAAAATAACGGAAATAAACAAAATCTAAGTCGTGATCATAACAAAGCCAGAAAGGCTTATTGGTCTGACCTTCAGAATAGTTTTATAAAGAACGGGGTTAAAGGCTAATGGAATCTTTGTTAGAAAGTACAAAGGATGTCATTCGAAATCTTCACACCTATTTTTTGCGTTAGTGGACAGAGAGGGAAGGAAATTGCTGTGAAACTGGAAAAGTATTTCGGGCGGTTCGGTATTTTGAGGGTACAGTTTAGCGAATGGTCTGGCTTTCAAAGAGTTAAGCTAATTCTTTTGGAAGGTGGTAATGAATTTTTTCACCTTTCTCAGAATTCACACATTAATTAATACAGCAGCTATAATCTGATTTAAATTTTGGAATCCTAGCCATAGACCACCAAAATATTAAACAAAGCAATGAACGGCACACTTAAAAACATCGCCTAGTGTTGAAACTTGGGTGCACCTGCACTGATGGGCTATGACTGCAGAACTGCCATTTGCCAACTTTTATTTAAGCTGTAATTAAATTATTAGTTTCTATGTAAAAAGGAAGCAGAAAATTTACAAAATCACATGGACATAAATTTAAGTAGCAGAGCTTCCAAAAGTAGCAAAATTGCAAAATATTACACGATCTGGCAACAGTTTCCACTGGTTAATGGAAACACTACCACATAAACAATCTGAATTGACACAGCAGCCAAATTAACACTATGCATTTATTTAGGAGCTAAGATTTTCTCTAACTTCTAGATCCATGCTGTGGGTAAGATGAATCTAGAATTACTCTGTTATGAAACTTTCTGCACAAACAACTAATGAATTAAATGAGAAAATGTATAACTGAATAATGTCCTATGCAGTAATCATTTTACACTGAAATATTTCCTGTACCAAGAGAACAAACTGATATCTACCAAACAGGCAAAGTTTATAGTGTTTAAAAGCAAATGATTTCCGATTCTGCAAATTAAGTTTAAAAAGAAAATAAAAGTGAGATATTTAACTAAGTACCAATATCTGAACTGTGCACAGAATCCATTTCATTAGCTGATTCTGAAAAACTTTCTTCATTGCTGCTATTCTTCCCACGAAGACGTTCTTCTGCTTCAAAGAATGCATTCATCGGTTGGTTACAGTTCTTTCTATTATAAAGAAACTGTGCTTCTAGAAAAATAAAAACAAAACACACATAATTTGGCAATAAAAATTTACTTCTTATGTTAAAAAAATGTTTCAAGTAAAAAATAAATATTATACAGTCAAAAGTCGTTAATTCGGACCTCAAAGGTATAAGCTTTCTGCGCATGCGTCAGTGCGTAAGACCTTTACGGCTACGAATATGCGTGTGCGCATGCGCATAATACGTTTACCCATGCACGTTTAATGTAAAATGGATGGTATAAGCTAAGCTAAAATTATCTAATTCAGTTAGTGTTGCAGATTGTGTTGTTCCTTAATCTTCGAATTGGATCCAGCTTATTATTTTTTGCAGACTGTTAGAGCAATTTTATAAAAGTAAGCTTGAACTTTTGATTATGTCAAATAGAATTTCCGATATATATTTACTAATATGTAAAGGATCTACAAAGCGAAAGTAAGTTTTGAAGTCCATTAAACAAAAAGTGAATTGCTGCAAAAAATGGATAAAGGCATAATCCTTTGTTTATCTAAACATTCCAAAATCTGTTTATCAATTTTACGCTGCTCTGCGGCGGGGGCAATGAATTGGAAGTTGATCTGTCAGCACTATCCTTAACTTCAGATGTTTTTATTTTATTTGGCTTATAATTCCTTACTAAATGTAGTATTTCATCTCAATGTACTCCGTCTTTTTATTCCGTCTCCGTATCTCAATATGATTTAAATCAAATTCCTCATCATTATAATTCGCTTCTGATAGTGAAGAAAGTGACACAGAGGTTATTGAAAACGAAAAAATTTCGATTGACAAATTAGTCGGTATTCTCAACACAGCAATTATAGGACTTGAACAGCGGAACTTTGTAACTGAAATTGCTTCAAAAAATGGATAAAGGCATATCCTTTGTTTGTCTAACCATTCCGAAATCTGTTTATCAATTTCATGCTGCTCTGCGGCCGGGGAGGGGGCAAACGCCGCGGCGCGCAATGAATTGGAAGTTGATCTGTCTGCACTATCCTTATCTTCAGGACAGATATTTTTATTTGGCTTATAATTCCTTACTAAATGTAGTATTTCATCTCGATGTACTCCGTCTTTGATATGATTTAAATCAAATTCCTCATCATTATAATTCTCTTCCGATAGTGAAGAAAGTGACATAGAGGCTATTGAAAACGAAAAAATTTCGATTGACAAATTAGTCGGTATTGTCGACACAGCAATTATAAGACTTCAACAGCGGAACTTTGTAACTGAAGAAGAAATTATGTCTGTTTATAGAATTAAAGAGAAAGTAATATCACATAAAATGAAGCAACTTAAACAACTTACATTGAAAGAAATGTTTAATAAAGTAAACAAATAAATATTAAGCTTTTTTTTTTTTTTTTTTTGTAAATTTTGATACCCTTTAGATCATAATTGTTCTTTATTTCATAAATTATGGTTTAATATTTTTAATTTTGTAACTTCTGCATGCCATTTTACCAGATTTAAACTCACGATCTATGATCCAGAATCGCCGAAGTCCCGACGAGTCCGGATTAACGACTTTTGACTGTACTAAGAAACATTATGCGACTATTTTTTTTATTCTACTATAATATTTTGTAATTAGTTTTGTGAAAAAACATTTCCTAACTCAAATTCTACACAACTCATTCAGTTTAAAGCCCAGTTTATTCATAGAACGTGTTCTAGCACACGTGCAATTTAAAGAAAGACAGTTCAAATAATCAAAATTATGTAATATGCTTCAGGCATATTTGATTCTTTTTTCTAATAAAATTATTTATCAGGCGATATTAAATACTTTTCTTATTATAATTATTTTGCAGAAAAGCAAGAAAATTAAATTCAGGAAACAGCCAAGAATATCCTAGAGATACAATAATATATACCAAGCATTTGGCCATACCGAATACAGTACAAAGTTCGAGATCCAGACTTGTCAGGACTTAGGTAATTCTGCATATTTCTGGTTTTAGACCATCAGTTTAAATCTAGTAAAATGACACATAGAAATTATAATATGAAGTAGTTGTTTATGAAATAATGAACATTTACGACTTTAAAAGGGGGAGTATATAAGGTATTTTCTCCCTCCTTTCGGCATGCCTTCGTGACGTAACTGGAAGCACACTCGACGCGTATTTAGGAGGTCCAGAGTTTGAATCCTGGTGAGAGCATTGCATATTTTTCACGTCTCCAGTATACAAAATCCTAATGACTCTGCATAGTAATGGAAGTGACAAAAAAGATTTTGATTGGCAGTTTAGTGGAATTTCCCAACATGGTAATTACAGGAGTTGAACACTGGAATTGTGTAAATGAGCAAAATGTTATGTTTGTCTATAAAATTTAAGTTTTAAAAGCAATGTTATAAAGTTGTTATATTGAAAGAAATGTTTAATGAAGCAGATAAATAGATATTGTTTTGAAAACTTCGATTCCTTTAAAGAGCGACTGGAGATAAGGTGACCCAGTAGTCAGTTCCTGGTGGTGATGAATTATTGTCCACTACCTTTTAGTTTAGCATCACTTGTAGTGTCCTTGGATATTTTTATGCTGGAGATGCGAAAAATGTGCAGTGACCTCAGCAGGATTTAAATTCCAGACTTCCCTAATACGCATCACATGTGCTTCCAATTTTCTGGATTTAAAACCACACTACAGAATTCACTGTTCGCTCGTTGACTGCTGACTGGGGTATGTCATCACAATGAGAAACTTCTATTATATCATCTTAATGTCACTTGTTCGCTTAATTTTAACTTCTATAACATTCAAAATCTACACCAAAATAGTGTTGCCGTTTTGTCTAATTTTGAAAATGCATCTTTTTAAGCCCAAACTGTGCCAATGCCATTTTCTTGCATTTAAATATTATATAATACAGCACAGCTCATGCCCCAAACCTCACAGCGAAAAACCACGTGAAATAAAATGCAAACAGAAGCAACCAAGTACAATTTACAGCTTGAAACAATTATCAAGAATTGATGCTTGTATGAAATTCAAGCAAGTCTGGTTAAGTTAGAGCTTCGCACATCACTTACCTAGGATGAGCTATGTTGAGCTCATTGTGCACCGAGTGTAAAAAAAGAAAAAAACCAAATTTCCAATGCATTAAAAAACCTTAATTTCAGATAGACTTCCCAGAGATTAATTTTACACAGTACATGATTACAAACAGCAGTGGTATGCGAAAATTTGTTAAACAATATGTATTAACTTGGCTTACCCGTTCGTGGAGAAATGCAAAAATCTTCTTCAACAGAATGCCCATAGCATGAATAATAGCCATCATATTCTGTAACACAGGAGGATACATATGCAGTATAATATTAAGAATCAGTATTTAAAGGAACATTATTTTATATATGTAAAAAAGGTCATAAAAAGAAAAAAAAAAAGATTCTTGGATTAAAATTATTGAAATAAGTTGACTTAAAAGCACTGAATGTCTTAAATTAAGTTTACTGAACTATCCTCTTTAGCTGCCAAAGTGTAAATGAAAGAGATAAGATATATCTTAAAGAAGATAAGATAAGAATAGCTGGACAAGAGTTAAGCTACTGGCGCCATATATTGATGAAAGGAGAACTAAAACATAATTTCCTTAAAGGCTGAAGGCATTACTAGTTCTACCATTCCCATGCTATACTCAATGTTCATAAAATAGAGTAAACTGCTACATTGGGATAGTGGTCTGACCGAAGCGCCCGATTTCATTAAGCTTAGCTCAACGAGACAAAGGCTGAAGGCAAAGATGGATTGAAAAATTATTAAAAAATTCTATATGAAAATTTTAAAGTCTTTATAAACAGAACAAAATCCACTTTTTTTATTCAATTTATACTGACATTTTCAAATACTGACGTTTTCCTTTTTTATCTAATTTGGCAAAATGATGCCAAATATCACTTGAGGTTCTTCTATTCGGTAGGATCCATATTTTGTTCTGCAACCTTGAAAACCTTATCATTATACCAATTCTAAAGAAAATTAAAGAGAAATTCACAGCTCTTGATTACAAAACATTAGTAAAATAAGTAAATAAATAAAAATACAACTATTAGTTTACATAAATATTTCAGTAATACTGTGTAAAAAGGTAATACCTAATATACATAGCTATACTATGACATAGTATTCAAAGAATTGAAATGGAATTCAAAAGAACAGCTCTGAGGAAATGAACAAATAATCAAGATTCCTATAATCTACACACTTTAAGCAGATCCTTGCACTGCCAGTTGGGAAAAAAAAAAAAAAAAAAAAAAAAACTCCATCCATTTGCAAAATGGGGTGATCAGTTTCGCTGAGATGCATTGGTTTAAGATAAAATAACACGCCAAACAAGTATTAATTAAGAAGTCGAACAACAAAAATCAGCATAATATTTGAAAATTTTCACAGGACTAGTTTTGATAGTTTTAGTTGATTGTGATAGTTTATAGTTTGTTCATCTATAAGACCAGGTTGAGGTCCATTGTTACCTATGCCTGCCCCATCTGGGCTTTTGTTTATAAAACTACTTTAAATAAACTGCAAGTTAAAACGTGAGAGACAGATTTCTCAAGCATGCTGGTTCTATAGAAATATTAAAATTCACGAGGAATTAATTGTTGAACCAATTGCTCAATTCATGGCAAAAATTGCCAGAAATTCTTCAACAATATTGTACTTAAGATAAAATAACACGCTGAACAGGTATTAATTTAGAAGTCAAGCAACAAAAATCAGCGTTATATTTGCAAATTTTCACACGACTAGTTTTCAATAGTTTTACCGAACCATCCGCCTCGGTTGCCAAAGTGCAAATGAATGAGATGTAGTGATTACATACGATAAGACTGGCTGGACAGGAGTTAAGCTACTGGGCACCATCTACTGATGAAAGGAGAACTAAAACATAATTTCCTTAAAGGCTGAAGACAATGATGGATTGGAATTAGGGTCATTAACTAGAACAGAAAGATTTATGTGAATATGAAATGCCTCTAGAAAATCTAATTCACCAGTGGAAGATGTTTTTTGAATAATTTTGGCTTCAGAAAAATTGAAAGTGTGATTTTCGGACCAACAATGCTGGGCAACAGAGGACTTCTGTGTTTCCTTTTTTCTAACATATGCCTCATGTTCCTTAATGCAAAGTTTCATATTAAGAAACAGTAGACAAAATTATTCAAAAGACATCATCCACTGGTGAATTAGATTTTCTAGAGGCATTTCACATTCAAAAAATCTTTCTGTTTCTAGTTAATGACCCTAATTCCAATCCATCTTTGCCTTCAGGCTTTAAGGAAATTATGTTCGAGTTCTTGTTTCATCAATAGATGATGCCAGTACCTTAACTCCTGTCCAACCATTTTTATCTTATCTTATCTCATTCATTTGCGCTTTGGCAGCTGCGGATGATGGTTCAGTAGAACCATCAAAACCAGTCCTTTGAAAATTTGCAAATATAACCCTGATTTTTATTTCTAAATTAATGTTTTGTTTTTTAAATACTAAATGGAACACAAGCAAGCCAAATGCACACATCCACACATAAAAAAAATGTCAGAGACGTTTCTGTTAAATAATAAAGAAAAGACTTAAGAACATTAAAAGGAATCAACTTTTTGGCATGCTTCCCATCAACTCTCGGTGAACTGAAGTCAAGGGAATTGATTCTTCGAGTCAATTCCGGAGTGGATCGTTTCTCTCCAATAAGACAACTATATGTTTAATCAGTTCAGTCTTTCCAACAAATATATAACTAGAAAAGTGCCCAGCCATTTAAAAAAAAAAAAAGTTTTCCTTAAAAAGCCATCTCTACAAAGGCATTCTTTTTAATGGGACAAATACTCTTAGTAAACTTAATCATAATCTAGTAACTTGAATAACCCAAAGGGAATGAATGAACATAAGTGACCTGCATTTAGGTAATTTCATATAATATATATACAGTACAAAGTCTGTAATCCGGACGTCCATTACCCGGAATGATCTATAATCTAAACCTCAAAGCCACAAACTTTATGCATGCGTGCAAAGAATGCACACGCATGCGTGCACAGTGCATGCTTTACGCATGCACACATTGAAAGAAATGTTTAATAGAATAAACAAATAAATATTAAGCTTTTTTGGTGGGGTAAAATTTTATACCCTTTAGATCCTAATTGGTCTTTATTTCATAAATTATGGTTTCATATTTTTAATTGTATAATTTCTGCATGCCACCTTACCAGATTTTGATGATCTGTAATCCGGAAAAACCCTAATCCGGAATCGTCGAAGTCCCGCCGAGTCCGGATTACAGACTTTGTACTGTAATAGAAATAAAGAACGGATGAACAGCAGAATCAGAAGAATCAAATTAATCGAACTGCTCTTTCAAAAAAAATTTTTCAAGTGTAGTTTTGAGATTCTCTAAAACCTCTTTTCCTAACAACAAAATTCAGAGTTTAAAAACTCAAGGTAAGAAAGGAAAAATTTTAATTTATTTTTAACTTGGGAGGAGAAAGAAATAGGTATCTCTTTTCCCTAAAATGGGAGTAGAACATTTCTGGCTCACTCAGTAAAGTAAATCAGTTCATTCAGTTTGAGAGCAAACTGCACACCTCTACTAGATAACAATATTTAATATCTAAGTTATGAATAAATTACAAAAATTTCCGTTTTGAAAACAATTTTGGTACTTGTCCGCAACCTAAAAACTCACCAAAGAGCACAATTCATCACCAGTTATGGATAAAAGCAGTGTAACAACACACTCATAACATCTGTGCTTTTCTTTGATGTAACCCAAGTGATTCTTAATAAGACATCTTTTGTTTTACAAACAACGATATAAATTAACTGGTATTGCTACATTTTCCCCTTTCATTTTGCAAAACAAAAGATTAAAATTTAGGACGTGTTCTACAGAACAGCAAGTAATGGCTTCTTTTTAAGTTACAGAATCCTAAACATTAATAATAGGCTTTGTTGAATATGGCCAAGAAAATGGTAACGTTCCTGAGGGAAGTTTGCACTCATGACATTTTTAAGCAGTAAAATCAGAAGGCCTAGCAAAATAACAGAACTGATGAAAGCCTTTTTACAAAGCACAGAAACAAAACATGTTAAGTAGTGATTGTTTATTAAATAAAGAAGCATTAGTTCCGAATTTCATAGGAATGATTGGTAAAACTTTGGTAAGATTTTCCCTCAACTTTCATGGGTTAACGGGAAAGTTTTTTTTTTTTTTTTTTTTTTCCTTTTCCCCATTTGAATGATATTTTTTTTATAATTGGAAAGAAAAGTATAACTTAAATTTTAACTTTCTAACGCAAAATAACAATAAGAAATAAATACAACCTCATTTAGAGGCATTTATGTGGATGAAATGAGAAAGACGGTTAGCCTATATATTAGGGTGCCCCTTGGATTATCAGCAAGTTGTTTCCTTTATCGCCGAGTTGTTGTTTCATCAGTATTTTTGTTTAGTTTTCATGGTTTTCCTATATTATTATAGTCAATGTTTTGTGCAAAATATTGTTTATTATTATTTAAAAACTTAACAAACAATCAGATATACCTCTGTGATTAATAAATAAGGCTGATCTTTAAATTATAGTAACTTGGTGATTTTTTGGCGAAAATTTGGCGACCAACTCTCCTATACAGCAACCCTCTATTTCTTTTTTCCCGCCGCCATTTTGTCTTCACAAAGTAAAGACATGTTACTTTTCTTTTTATCTACTGAACACTTCTTCCAACAATTCACTTTAGTTAGGGCCATGGGATCCAAAAATTAACGAACACTGTTTCACACAACAAAGCCAAATACAAAATTTCCAGATTTTTTCCCGATTTCCCCCCTTTTCCGATTAAAGAACCATAATTCGTCCATTAATATCACATGACATATCCCATGATCTCTCATTTCCCTCACACAAAATAATGCGTAATCGGAACTAAGTACTGCTCACATTATTACCAAAGCCCCATGTAACCTTTATCGCCTCCAAAATGTCGCCAAACTACCAGTTACCATATTCTAAAGATCAGCCAATTATCCAAACTAAATAATTAAGTGTTGAAATCGAAAGAAACTGCAAGATTGATAATGAAACCAAAAATAAATTTCACAAATTATTGCATGGAAAATTCCTGAACTATCGATTGACATCTTTGCAAAACAGATTAATGCAGCAATGTAATTACTATAAAGATAAGAAATGAAAATGGTGATGAAGAATTAAAAGCGACTTTTAATGTTTGTTGAAACATGGGATGTGGGAGAAATAACATGTCCCTCTCCAGAAGGAAGTAAAAGTGTAGAAATGATTTACTTTCATATTGAAACATGAAATAAAAATTAATGATTTTCTGGACTTTATTGAAATGGCTACATAAATAATAATATAACAGAAAGGAAAACTTTCTCTAACAGTACACATACGTATATAATTTGGCATAAATTATGATGAACAATTAAATGTACTCGTTATTTCTTGGAATTTTTGTGGTGTTTTGAGATTTATTTTTTATATTTTAAAGAATTTTTTATTTAATTTTTTCCCCTCTTGCAAACTGTTTATATTTTCTACTTTTACAGTTTAATCACGATCTATATTACAATATTTCGTTTTTTAAGTGCGAGTCCTTCTTTAAAATTTTCATAGCTCATTCCTGTAGGCACCCAACAGAAGGCTAATCAGCAAGTAATATTCAGTTGCTGGGTGCAAATAGCAATATCAGCTTGCACCACATGCATCATCTTTTTTTTTCTCCAAATTTTAATTAAAATATCCAGTAAGTAACACAATAATACGAGTTTTCAATACAATATTCAGTTGGTAAATACAAATTCAAGAATCATTAATTTTATCTATCAACATAATGCAGTTTAATAACAAAGTAAACAGAACTGAAGTAAATTAACAAACCTTCATCTACATCGATTGCTCGCACATTTCTATGCCGTGACATTTTTTATTTTTTTTTTTAGACTACTACAAAACAATCATGAATTCATCAGTTTAACAGAAACTCGTAAACCGTATACGAATTCATAAAAAAGTTCTGCTTTCAAAGCTTTCTGAGCATCTTTGAGGTAAAATTAAACGAACAAGATACATATGCACTAACCGGAACGTGTCATCACCGGAAGTTAAAATACGTCATCTGACGTCATAATTGTTTACCAATGATATAACAGCGAGGTTAATATAGCCAAAGGAAACTTTCTACAGTGGTTGCCCTACTCTTGGATTTATCACTGCCTCTCGTACTCGTATTTATTAGTTTCTAGCTTTTCAACTCTATTAGATAATAAAATTTACACCATAAAATATTCAATAGAGATTATAAAATAGTTAAAAACATTTCTCCTAGAAATTTACTCATAGTTTCTTTTGATGTAAAATCATTATTCACCATTGTTACAGTGGAGGGTGTATTAAGATGTCTAGAAATCAGACTTTGTGAATTTCATTTCTCTTGAATTGAAATTGATGAGCTAATTTCCCTCCCTCAACTCTGTTTAAAACTAACGTATTTTGTTTTCCAAAATAAGTATCACAAGCAAACTGAGGGGTTAGCCACGGGAAGCCCTCTCAGTCCCATCCTGGTTTATATCTACAGGCATTATTATGAATCAAAATTATGGTTCCACTACGTACACGATACTTTTACCCTGTTTGACGGTAATAAAGATTATTTAAATAAAGTTCTTTCATTCCATACCTTGACACTCGAGAATAATAATAAAAAAATACGATCTTCATCAAAATGAATTTCATTGATCCTGCTATTCAGTTTACTTTTGAACTTGAGACATGCAATTCTCTTCCGTTCCTCGATATTTTATTCCCACATAACACATCCAACTTCAGTACTACGGTTTACAATAAACCTTCATCGGTTTGCCTTCCACCACACTTCAAATCATGTCATCCGACTAAACAAAGGTTAGCTTCATTTTATTCCTATGTTTTCCATACTCTTCAAGTTTGCTCCACCAAACTATCACTTGATGAAGAACTAAATTATTTAAAAGCAATACCTATTGACAGGGGATTTTCACCCAACATTATTAATGAAGCAGTTAAAAAACATTAATTAATTAAATTCTCATCTCAACACACCAAAAGGCACACTCTTGTTTTAGGAGATAATAAAAATTGTGTTGTCATTCCCTTCTTTCCATCAATTAGCTATAAAGTTGCACGTATTTTACAGAAATTTAACTTTCGGGTCATTTATTCTCCCATCAATAAATTCCGAGTTCCATTCTCAAGGACCCCATTCCGGATATGAACTCCTGGGATATTTACAGGATTCCTTGCCAGTGTGGTTAATTTACATTGGCCAAACTAAGCCTTAAAATTTCCCGTTAAGGAACATAAGGCATATGTTAGAAAAAAGGAAACACAGAAGTTTTCTGTTGCCCAACATTGTTGGTCCGAAAATCACTTTTAATTTTTCTGCTGCCAAAATTATTCAAAAAACATCTTCCATTGGTGAACTGGATTTTCTAGAGGCATTTCACGTTCAAAAAGAATATTTCTGTTCTAGTTAACGACCCTGATTCCCATCCATCTTTCCCTTGAGACTTTAAGTAAATTATGTTTTTAGTTCTCGTTTTATCAATAGATGGAGCCCTAGTGTGCTTTGCCATAATTAAATACACACACACACAAAAATATCAATAGATGAAGTCAGTAGCTTAACTCCTGTCCAGCCAGTCTTATCGTATGTAATCACTACATCTCATTCATTTGCACTTTGGCAACCGAGGCGGATGGTTCGGTAAAACTATTGAAACTAGTCGTGTGAAAATTTGCAAATATAACGCTGATTTTTGTTGTTTGACTTCTAAATTAATACCTGTTCAGCGTGTTATTTTATCTTAAGTACAGTATTGCTGAAGAATTTCTGGCAATTTTTGCCATGAATTGAGCAATTGGTTCAACATCGAGTTCCTCGTGAATTTTAATATTTCTATAGAACCAGCATGCTCAAGAAATCTGTCTCAGAGTCACGTTTTAACTTGCAGTTTATTTAAAGTAGTTTTACAAACAAATGCCCAGACGGGACAGGCATAGGTAACAATGGACCTCAACCTGGTCTTATAGATGAACAAACTATTATCTAAGGAATGACCATAGTTTCGGCAAATTAGGCGGTACAGGGTAGAATTTCCAGAATTTGAAGATTACGAGCGTAATGTGACTCATTCGTTGGTCTAAAATGACCTCAAGATAAGTTACTTGTGTGTCCCAAGGGATAACAGAATCAAGCATACTGGTGCGATGATGGTCCGTCGATGTGTGAACATCACAACCACAGTTCTGTCCACATAAATTTTGATCAGCCATTTTTAAGCAAGGACTCTAATGCATGTATGCAGTTTTGTAGTGCATATGTAACTGAACACAGAAATGTATTTTGTGCAAGGATCGCTGTAGCTTCTGCGTAAGGGGGACTTAAGTCCTCTAGGTCAGGGGCTCTGACTCTGATGTAATGTATCTTCTGCATATATGGTGAGTGTCTTCTTGGTAGTTTAGGGTATGCCGTTCACTTAAAGTTAGAAAATTATCAAGCTAGGGTTAATTAGTCAGCTTGTCGAATATGTGTGATTTATCAAACAACAAAATATCTGTCTGGAAGATAGGACTTAATTGTGTGTGTGATGTTAGCTTGGGAAGCCCAGAGCGATAAGTCTGGAGGTGATTCCTTCCAGCCAAACACAATCAAAATCCATTGAGGTATCGAGAGTCCACCAGTTGATTTGTGGTTTTGTAGTACCTTTGAGATATTTTCAACAACACGTAGGTGTTGGTGCACTGTTGAATAACGAGGACGAAATCCATGCTGCTCAGGAATAAGGATGTTGTTGTTGGCAATGAAGTCCAGGACATGTTTGTGAATAACATATTCAGCGATTTTGTTAAGCCTATATGCTGTGTCATCCGGTGGCTTTCCTTGCTTCATAATCAGAGAAATAACTGCAGTTTCCCAGACTTGAGGAAAATTCTGTTTCTAAGGTCAGGTTGATGAATTGACTGAAGTTACAGCGCATGATGGAGCCCATATATTTAACCATCCTGTTGTTAGCGTGGTCAGTGCCAGGGCTCTTCTCATCTCGTTATAACTTAGTACCTCCAAGGACTTAACTAGTTATATTGTTCGTGTATGGTTTTAAAAAATATTATGTAAGTGTACACAAAACCAATTCTTCCGTATCTATGTTGTTCATCGAGCAGCGTTTCGTTGTTTGATTAAGTTATAAATGGCAGGATCTCTCCACTGTTTGTGATAAAAAATTATTTAAATTTGATATATTTGTTAAAATTAATTTTTATATGTCTGTAAGCTATTATTCTAATTCATTGTTTAGGAACTTCTCCATTCATTTAATAAAGGGAAAATTATTTAAAACGTAGTGCCACAATAACACATATTTTAAAACAGGATCACCTGCAACAAATATCATGCATTTATAAGTAAAGTAGCCACGATTTCTGTTTGTCGGGATACAAAATTTGAACAGTCAAAAGTCGTTAATTTGGACCTCAAAGCTACAAACTTTCTGCGCATGCGTCGCGTTGACGTGTGCGACCTTTACAGCTGCGAATATGCGTGTGCGCATGCGCATAATACGTTTACGTATGCGCGTTTAATGTATAACGGACGGTATAAGCTAAGCTAAAATTATCTAATTCAGTTAATGTTGCAGATTGCGTTTTTCCTTAATCTTCTAATTGGATCCGGCTTATTATTTTTTGCAGACTGTTAGAGCAATTTTATAAAAGTAAGCTTTAACTTTCGATTATGTCAAATAGAATTTCCGATATATATTTACTAATATGTAAAGGATCTACAAAGCGAAAGTATGTTTCGAAGTGCATTAAACAAAAAGTGAAATTGCTGCAAAAAATAGATAAAGGCATATCCTTCGTTTCTAAAACCATTCCGAAATCTGTTTATCGATTTCACGCTGCTCTGCGGCGGCGGGGAGGGGGGAAACGCAGTGGCGCGCAATGAATTGGAAGTTGATCTGTCAGCAATATCCTTATCTTCAGGGCAGATGCATCTCGATGTACTCCGTCTTTGATATTATTTAAATCAAATTCCTCCTCATTATAATGCCTGATAGTGAAGAAAGTGACATAGAGGCTTTTGAAAACGAAAAAATTTCGATTGACAAATTAGTCGGTATTCTCGACACAGCAATTATAGGACTTGAACAGCGGAACTTTGTAACTGAAGGAGAAATTATGTCTATTTATAGAATTAAAGAGAAAGTATTATCGCATAAAACGAAGCAACTTAAACAACTTACACTGAAAGAAATGTTTAATAAAGTAAACAAATAAATATTAAGCTTTTTTTTTTGTAAATTTTGATACCCTTTAGATCATAATTGTTCTTTATTTCATAAATTACGGTTTAATATTTTTAATTTTATAATTTCTGCATGCCATCTTACCATTTAAACTGATGATCTATAATCCGGAATCGACGAAGTCCCGACGAGTCCGGATTAACGACTATTGACTGTATAAGCAAAACAATAATACCACTGTTTGTGGTAAAAAATTATTTTAAAAAAATTATCAAAATTGAATTTGATATATTTGTTAAAATAAATTTTTATATGTCCTGTTCTTTTTTCTTCTTAATTTAAATAGAAAAAAAAAAAAAAAAAAAACCCAGTTAACATGTAATGACATCATAAAACCCACAAAAGAAAAGTGTTTTTTGTAATTCTGCTGAAGATAATCTGGAAAATGCTAACAGTTTTTTTCCAGACAGTACATTGCAGGAATGAGTTCTATATCTCCCCTTCTACTGAGCCGATTGACAAAATTCAAATTGCGTTTTTCATGTCTCGAAAACGCGACTTCGGATATATATTAGATTTATATGTAGCATTGTTCTAACATAGGCATTTTTACACAAAATCGGACTTTTTCTGAAATAACATACCAATTTTTTTTTCCATATTTCGATTTTATGACTGAAATTATGCCTAGATATTAAATTTTGTAAAATTTGGTGTGAAATTTACAGAGAAATTCAAAAATTTATCTTGTCACAATATTTTTCAGTTCGAGCCAAGAATAATTCACTTGGCGAACTTCTTAATATCTGGCAACCAATTTTCCTTTCGCTTCCATTATGCCGGAGCGGGGGAAAAAGGCACTTCGTTCCTACCTTTTCACATTGTGCGCGACGTAAAAATAGTGACATCGTTTCTACTTCCAAAAAAATTTTGAATGTTTGAGATTTTAAATTACGTCCAAAGGGGCGTAATTTAAAATCTCAAATTTTTTCTTTAATAAATCTTTAATTTAAATCTTTTTTTTAACATTTTATGTGTTATCTTTCTTTATTAAATAACATATTCTTCTTCCATTAGATCCAGTTCAACAGCAATATCGCAAAATAATTTTAAATTAAGCATATATTTAGAATTTGCGATAGAGAGACTCACACGCTGGAGCCATTCGTGGTAATTAAGTCAATTATGATACAATCACACTGCTCATCCGAAAATATAGAAAAGGCAAAGTCAAGGGTTAAATTCATCAATTCTGATGAAAATGCAGTAGCAAAGTAAAGCACTGCGGTTTTACATAATTTCTGCGTAAAGTACTCATATGAATTAAAATGATTCTTGCATTTAAACTTCTATTCCATATCAAGATTTAACTTGAAATTAATATAGATAATTACCGAGAGAATTAGATTTTTGTAGCGCAGTTTATGCGAGATGAGGTCATGTTATATGGACCGGCAAATCATGATATTTTACCATGAAAGCATAGTAAATTCTTAAATTAATGTCTTTTTAAAAAATGTTAAATGTTATTAAAATTTTTATGCCTTAAAAAAAATTCTTAGACCTTACATTTGTTAAAATTTTTTTTTTTTTTTTTGTGTATACTTTTGTGTTCACCAATAAAGTCTGCTTGGCGAGATTTGTGCGATGAAATGGAAAAGTACCATTCATTTAAAAGATTCTTCCATATTATACTTTAGTGCTAAAAATTATTTCAAATAATAAAAACTGAAACTGAACATAGTTTTGCTTATGGGGAATGTATTTTGTGCAAATACAAAACATTATGCATTAATCTCAAAAAATTCCATCCATTAATTTTCACGCTTTGCAAATGTTATCGCTTAACTGATTGTAACAAAGCGAATGACAGCTGTTGGCTTAAATGGAAGATGCCCTCATGGAGTCACTGGCTCGTACTTACGCAGTTTGTGGACAAAATAACAAAAGCGGATACAACTAGATGCTTTATCAACAATTAAATCTTTGTTGATCTATAAATGTTAATCTGTTTTAGTCATTTGGCCATAAATATTAAGGCCTTCATGTATATCTTCACCCTCATACCTACAGTACTTATTAATAGAAGGAAATTATTAAATGAAACAGACTGACAATCAGCAAGTTTTTAAAAAGTGCAGAATCTAACTCGTACAAACGACAAACTATGTTAACTTATAATTTCACAAGGAATAGTTAAAGTTGTTTTTAAGTACTCATCATACTGCCATTTTAACAAATATACAAAGCATTAAATTAACATACTATTCCCTGGCTTTGCAAAAAGTATGGCTTTTTCTCTCTCTACATATATAAAAAAATTCAAGTTTGCTTGATGAAATATATATATATATAAAGGGACATTCTATTGAGTTTTGCAATTTCTTTTAAAATTTTGTCATGGATTTTATTTTTTATTGATATACTTATACATTTATACAACTTCTATACTTGCCTGATAAAATACACACATTTGTATATCTATCAGGCTTGATTTGGATGAGAGAAACTCATACTATTAAATATTTCCTTTCAGTTTATGTCAGCAAACTTAAATATCCATTAATATTTATATGCACTTTAAAATCAGTTATTTAACATTTTCCCCTTTTATATAATCTTAGAATTTTGTAAAAAGTCAGTAAAATAACTGTAAGCTACCCAATAAAAGATCACAACCTAACATTTAAAATTTTCTACTTGGATTAGTTTTCCCAGATTCTTACTATTCTCCCTAATCTAGTATTAGTATAAGCAAACTATTTACTAGTTTAATTACTTTTCTTTTTCCTAAATTTTAATACCTTTACCTTAAAAAGCTCTGCATAAGAATATTTTTTTTCTTCTTTGAAAATATCCATTATAAAATAATATAAGCCAAAATGAAATGATTCTTGCAAATATTCAAATCATCTTTCTTAAATTCATTGCAAACCAAAGCAGATATATTATGTATACAATTTATACAAGAAGATATTACAAATTATTAACAATCCAGGTTGGTCCCTGATACAGTACAGCAAACATATCAAAATTTTTAGTCTTTCTTTATTATTATGATCTCCATTACTTGAACAGCACCAAGATTATTGATAAATTGCCAACATATGTTTCTAATCAGTGTTAAAAATGGCTAGCAGTCATAATCATGATTACTTATAGCCTCCCTGTTATGAGAAGAGTTCTGAGAAAAGGCATTATGTTATTGTCACATTTCTAGCATATTTCCCTTTGTTATTATTAAAATGAGAGAAGGAAGAAACTATGTATTCTTCCAAGAAAGAGACATTTTAAACAAAATAAAATTACATGTCAAAGAAAGCACTTGGCTATGCAACAAGAATAGCTGTAAGGAAGAAAGAAAAACATACATGATAACAACCAGTCAGTGCTTCCAGAATACCATTAATAACAGCACTGTGATTTATTTATTTTTCAGAGAATTAACTGATGCCAATTAAAGGGTGGGGCATATTTGAATGCCCCACCCTTTAATTGTAATATGTTTGCTTGTATATTCCTAACTTCGTTTTTAACATTTGGTGCTATTTAAATAATGGGAACCATACTAAGAGAGAAATACTGAATTCTCTAATATAAAAAAATATCCAATTCACATGGCATCCACAATATCACACATAATTCTATCTAAGCCATAGCAATGTTCTTCTTTATCATCAGAATGTTTCTCTTTCTCAGCCATTTCTATGGATTCAGTTGAAACTAATAATTTGTTGTCCATATCCGCAGTATCAGGAAGAGAAGCCAAAGTAGTCTGTAGAACTTCCATAACTTTCTCAAGTTGTTTTTGAAACCTTTCAGTAGTTTCTATTCGTTGCCGCTTTTGAACATCTAGCATTACTCTTAAAGTTTCACGAGCCTGATGGGGTCGGAATTCATTTATCAAATGATGAGTATGAATAAATAGCAAATTGATATCTTCTTTTTTCTCCTCTCTCTTATTTGTGTCTGGACATCGAATTAAAATATCTAGCATATCTAAGAAATTAACCAAAATTGAATGATTCAGTTTTTTCAGTTCTCGCTTATGATCATAATTTTGAGGATAAAGTCGACGAATTCCTTGACTTTCAAGGGGACGTATGATGGGATCATCTGCATGATACGTTGAACCAAACATGGTGTAAGTGTCCATGTTACTTTTTGGTGGAGAAGGGGCACGGCCCTTCTGTATATTTTCATCTGTATATAAATTGACATATTGGAGTGGAGGAAGTGGCAAAGAGCTGACATGAGCTGCTTCCGACATGTTTTTCCAAGAAAAGATGAAAAGAATACTAAACAAATGAAGACTTTATCAAATCAGTTGGTTACCTAGAAGTAAGAACACCATATTTTTTATTTTAACTCATAAATTATATCATTTATTCTAAACAAAATTTAGGAACAAATACAAATATCATTTACTAATCCTCAACACATTTTACTAAAAAGGATTATTTTCTTGAGATTTTTTTATAATATTAGCTACAAACTATGAAGAGGTAATGTAAATACACTCTGTCTAACAAGAAAATACATACAAATAATTCTTTTTTAAAAAGATTTTAAATTTTAAAGAATTTTAATAATGTAACAGCTTTAAGTTTGGAGAGAAACAGTAAATATCCAGAAGAAACTATATACACACTGAACTACTGTTTATATATTTCTCATTTTACTTTTGTCTTCATTCATTCCTTCTCAAGTTTATAATAAAATGTATTATTTATACGATACATAACTTCAGTTACACTTAATTTTCGGTGACTTTTATTGGCCCTTTTTTTTATTCATCATAAAAAGAATTTCTTTCAGCTGCATTCAGAAATTGTATGTGGTGATACCAATGGGGTTAAAGAAAACTGGAGAATTTCAGACTGATGGAAAGGTTGAAATCCAGTTGCTGGATGGAAGAATAGAACAGAATAAAGTTTGCTGACTAAAGCTGTCTCATTTCTGTGTTATTTGGTAAACATGGTTTTATTTCCCTTTCACATTCTTTAAGTCTAACTTGCTGTGAAACATACAGTCTAAAAAATGAAACTGAAAATTTGAATAAAGGAACACGAATTAAAGGATTAACACATTAAAGGCGGGAGTCGTAGTACTACGATTTATCACGACTGTAGCTTAAAGGGAGTCTTAGTACTACAATTTATCTCGACTAAAAGGCGGGAGTCGTAGTACTGCAATTTATCTCACTGTAGCTTAAAGGCGGGAGTCGTAGTACTGCAATTTATCTCACTGTAGCTTAAAGGCGGGAGTCGTAGTACTACAATTTATCTCTACTGTAGCTTAAAGGCGGGAGTTGTAGTAATACAATTTATCTTGACTGTAGCTTGCGCATTTATCTCGACTGTAGCTAGTGCATGAGTGCAATCCATGCACCACTTTACATTTGTATTTAGTATGTTTTGTGGTTTGAAGCTGTTCGGTTGTTCAAATTCTACTTACAGTAAATTTTGAAATCCTTCAATATGGTTTCACGTGAAAATAAAGATATATATGCAGACGATTTGATGGACATTGAAGAGCCATAACCTGGTACATCGAACTCGGCACCACGATATAAAATTGATGCGCCTGGAAGTCTTTCGCTAGACATCAAAAAGGACAAATTAATTCGGATAGAAAATAAAGGCAAAAAGCTATATGCCCAACGAAACTGTGTAGTTTGTGTGGCACATAAAAAAAGAAAGTTGACTTGCTTCAAATGCGAGTTTTGCAATGCATCTCTACACCGTGGCGAGCGTTATCAACATTATCACAATCATAAAAAATACTAGATTCTTCTCATAAATATGTACATTAAAACATTTTTTGTAATTAGTGTTTAGTTCTTTTTTAATATTTCTTGTAGTTTAAAGATTTTAAATAAACTTTTTTAAGTCTAAATTTTTTTTTGATTACACAAAATATCGCCCACTCTAGGACGAAAAACGAGGCGAAGCGGTCACCGCGTTACCTAGCATACTTTTGTCAAGATCCCTCGCCTTTAATGTGTTAATAAAAGTTGAAAAAATTGAATATTTTCCCATTAACATTAGTATTGAAAAAGAATGCTTCCAAAAAGAGAGGTGGTGATAATGAAGAAAGTGACAGAGAGGTTATTGAAAACGAAAAAATTTCGATTGACAAGTTAGTCGGTATTCTCGACACAACAATAACAGGAGGATGTAGGAACTTTGTAACTGAACAAGAAATTATATCTGTTTATAGAATTAAAGAGAAAGTATTAGCACAAAAAACGAAGCAACTTAAACAACTTACATTGAAAGAAATGTTTAATTAAGTAAACAAATAAATATTAAGACTTTTTTTTTGTAAATTTTGATGTTTATAGAATTAAAGAGAAAGTATTAGCACAAAAAACAAAGCAACTTAAACAACTTACATTGAAAGAAATGTTTAATTAAGTAAACAAATAAATATTAAGCCTTTTTTTTTTTTTTTTTTTTTTTTTTTTGTAAATTTTGATGCTCTTTAGATCAGAATAGCTCTTTATTTCATAAATTACAGTTTCATATGCCAGATTTAAATTGATGATCTATAATCCGGGAAAATCCCTAATCCGGAATCACCGAAGTCCCAACGAGTCCGGATTACGGATTTTTAAAATTCCGGATTATGTACTAAAATGATGAAGACTGAATTAAATGTTAACAATGATAAGACCATAACTGATTGGAAGAACTTTTGTAGGGATGTGTGCGTTGATGTATGTATTCGTAAAGGGGAAATGATTGGGGATCCTGGCATGATTATTGAAATAGATGAGAGTAAATTTCGTAAAAGGAAATATAACAGATGCAAACGAGTGAAAGGAAAGTGGATGTTTGGTTTAATTGTTTGGTGAATTGATGGTGGTGAAATTTCGGAGAAAATTTCCCCACTTGATCTTCAGGGATACATGAAAAAGAATGTTTAATTTTCAGCACTTTATCTCTCACCTTAAAATCAAAATCGTGCCTTTTTTTATCCTAATACAGTTTCTACTTTGTTCTAGCAATAACTGAGTTTTTCAAGGCCTCATTGATTAATTTTCGAATATCTGCATCTTAATTCCTCAACCCTTTTTTGAATGAAAAATAGTTTATCCAAAGGGGTAATTAACGTTCTGCCAAGAAATAATTCAGCTGGAGTCTTCCTGGTAGCTATCCTCAACCAAATGCAAGTTTATTGACACAGCTGTCCCACTACTTTTGATAATTTTTTAGATAACTACGAATAATCTTAACTCTGTTTCTACTCTGCGATATTTGATAGCTGCCAATAATGGACCATTTTTAAATGTTGTATGCCAAGCTTTGCACAAAAATCCTCACAGATTTGATTAATGAACTGTTTGCCATTGTCTGAAATTACATCTAATGGAGCTCTAATTTTTAAAATAAATTCATTCTTAAAAGGAATTAGAAAAAATTTTAGCGCAGGTTTATTTCAGGGGAATGATTTCTATCCACTTTGGAAAACGATCCACGATAACTAGTAAATATTTTTTTAACCTCACTATAAGACTAAGTGACCTGATAAGTCAATTGCCGTTTATTCGGCAGGAAAAGTGGCTTTTGTGTTATTTAGGTACCTGGTCGGGCTATAATTAACATTGTTAATTAATTTGCAAATGTCACAGTCCTTGACATGACTAAAAAATTTTTGTAGCTGTGGAAAACAGACAGCTTCCTGAACTCGCTACATTGCCAGGATGGCCCGAAATTGTACATCATACCATTCATGCAAAATACAGTCTTAAATTGGTTGGGACAATCAGTTTTCATTCATTATTTTCATTTGTTTAAATAAGCATAAATATTTTAAAATTCCAGGGCTGTTTATAATTCTGCAATGACTGCCTGGAAAAGAATCTAAAATTTTTGCAGTTAACAGCACATTTCAGTTCATTCCCCTTGTCATTTAATTTAATTCGTGATAAAGCATCAGTCAAATAATTTTTTTTTCAGGGAGTATGTTTGATTATCAAGTTGTATTCTTGTAATTTAAGGGCCCACCTTATAAGTCCTGGTGATAAATTCTTCCTGGAATACAAATGACCTAAGGCGGCATGATCTGAATGCATTTTTATAGCTGTTTTCCGCCACTCAAAATTTTTGAACTGCCATAAGAACTGTTATTGCTTCTCTTTCTGTAATGGTATAATTCCTTTGAGTTGGATCAAAAATCTTACTAAAATATGCAACTGGCTGACCGTCTTGCATATGCTTGCCTCATAATGTGAAATCTGATGCATCTGCGGAAATTTCTAAATTCTAGTTGCCTTCAAAAATGTTTTAATCTGGAGCCTGTATTAATGCAGTCACAAGTGTTTCAAATATATGCTTGATTTGGCTGTTTGAGTAAACTTGGCTTTTATTAGTGTTTGAGTAATTTTATTAGCGGTTCTGCTATCTGTGTGAAGTCTTTGATGATTGATCTTTTGATTTGATTAATAACTATAATAGAAGCATAAGGCCAAAAATGAGGCTAACTTCTTCGCTGCATTAGTTGGAGGGTAATGTTTCAACACAACTATTTTGGAATTTTCGTTTCGATTCCTTTCCGAGATATAAGCCAAGTAATGAAGTTCTTTTGTCGCATATTTGCATTTATTTTCAACCCTGCTTCTTTTCAAAGCAAAAATACTTAAATGTGTAAAACTTAAATATGTTCCTCTCTAGTCTCATGGTTATATCATCTAGGTAAATATATGTAGATTTTCCAATGATGGGTCTTAGTATAATGTGCATCACCCTCTGAAACATGGTGGATGTTTGGTATAAGACAAATGGCATTCTCAGCAAGGCATAAACACCTGACTTGGCAATAAATGCAGTTATTGACACATCCTCTTGTTTCATACATATTCAACAATATCCAGAGGTAAGATATAATGTAGTCATACATTTTGTTGATTTAACCTTTTGAGTTATTTCTTCAATTACAGGTAGGTAGTGGGTAACCTGGGTATTTAGTTATACTTTTTAGTTTTCAATAATCAATTACAAAATGCCATGTTTTATGGCCCATCAATGGGAGATTGTTTTTCTTATCGCACAGTGCTACTGAACTAGGGTAAGGGTTACTTGCGAAAATTATGATCTTATTTTTTAACATCTCCTTGATCTGCTTTTCAATTATTTCTTTTTTAATTTTATCATAGCAATAGGGCTTTGATTGAGGGGTGGATTTCTTATGTATACGCTGTAGTTTACAATTTGCATTAACCCTGGCTCCTCATCAAACAAATCAGCAATATTTCTTACCAGCTGTTCAAGCTTCAATTGCGTTAACTGCAGGCCTGGTGGCTGCACTTGTTTTTACTTCAGCTGGTTCATTTCAAATTGTACTGTGACTGAAAACTGATCTTTACCCCGGCTCCCTTAAAGGAAAAAAAAAAAAAAAAAATTCAGAATTACTGAGGCTTGCAAATTTTTCCACACAACGAAAACAACCTTATGATCATTTCTTACTTGAATGTTTAATTTAACTTTCCCTATACATGGATACTGTTTGCCATGGTTGGCAAACAATTTTGCTCCTTCAATCCCAAATATTCTGTATCACTTAAAAACTTCAGCAAAAAACAAATTTTAGCCAAAAACTGCTTTGCACCTCTGTATCCAATAAAGATCTACTAGCACATTTTTTTTTTTAAATGTATTACTGGCAAAGACAAATTTTTTATTGTACCAAGATGGAATTTGTTACTTCCGAGTGACTGTACCTTTTGTATTTTAGAACGCCTTATTAGTTTAACATTTTGCCATCCCTCAGTTTCCTCTTTTTTTGAGATTTACTTTGGAAATTGCCATTCTGAGGTAAAATTTTCTTCCTGCTCTCAAAACTTTTATTTCCCTCCACCCTCAGCCTTCCTTCCACTACAGGCCTACAAAACTGTCCATTTGACCTCTGGTCATAGTCGAATGTAGGACTTTTTTCTAAAACCCATCTGCTTTCAAGCTTTACGGCAAGCTCAAATAAATTCTCAAGCATGATCAGGTTTCTCACCTAAAACTTTCTAGATTTGGGATAAGAAACTAAGCAGTACGATTTGGATAACTTGTGCATTGGTTTTTCCCCATACAAGTTAAGAATTTGTTTTTTTCTTAACATGAACTTGATCAGTTCTTCATCCTTAGCTTAGTATCTGCTAAATGATTCAGCTTCCAGTTTCACCCTCTCTTTCACCACAGGAAATAGTTTTACCAGGGTGGTTTTAAATGCTTCCAAATGTAAAATTTTCATTGCTTGATTCACCCAACAAAAATTTGCTGACACCCTTGCACCAGTTCAGTGCCTGTCCTTGCGGTACAATAGTTGCTACAGTAACCTTCTCTGCTTCCACAACTGGTAAAGCAAAGAATGAGTGTGCAGTTGTTCCAAAAAGTTCATTACTGAATTTCTACCGTCAAAAGTCACTGAAGGTTTCATCAATGCTCACATTGTATCCACAATACACCTGAAACCTTCCATGTGATTTATAGCTGCCGATGGAGCCTATGATGCTGGGAGGCGGCAGACTGAAAGGCGAATTGTGTTGAGCCATAGTCCAAGATTTTGTTTGGCTTGTTTTGGTTACATAAACTAGTATCACACCCCTAAAAGACATTTAGTGAATTATCACTATGTATGAATAGAATACTAAAGGGTCTCAAGAAGGTTTAACAAACCTTTTTATTAAATCAGAACCTTGAACATAAATGGTACTTCTCGTGCTCACATAAACAGCCATTCACTAGTGACAGCACACTTTTACTCTGCTTCAGATAAAGGAATGTCTGGAACAACAAAAGGATGGGAAGAAGGATCGAGATGGTGGAATAGAATATTTCACTTAGCCGCCATCAGTCGGCGAAGAAAAATGTAATGCGTGGAAACAGACAAACAATTGTGTAAAAAAGTTGTGATCAGTAAGGTAGTAAGTACTTCAAATAATTAACAAAATGTTAGGTATAAGTATCTGAAGGATATTTGTGTTTTTCTCTTGGAAGGTATACATCGCAATGAACTGATACAGATGGTTTGAATGTAATAGTACAGGAAAAAAAATAATAATTTGTTGCAAGTTTTTTTTTACATAATTTTTTATGGTATCAATTTAGAGATCTCTGTAAATATATGAATTCGGGATAAGATGCATTAATAATTTCGCGAAGAGTTTTATCTTGAATAACTTGGATATTTTTTATGTGGGTTTTAGCAGCATGTCCCCATACCGGACTGGCGTAAAGTAAAGCAGTTTAAGGATGGACTTGTATAAAACAAGTTTACTGTTGACTGCCAGATTGCTATGTCTGCCGAGGAGAGGATGCATAGTGGCTATTGAGATACTGAATTTTCTAACAGTTTCGTGTAAATGTTGCCGAAAAGTAAGTTTTCTTGTTGAGTGTGACTCCGAGATACTTCACTTGATCCATTCACTGAATTTCATCATCAAAGAAGATGGGTTTAGGAAGAAGGAAGTTTGTTTGTCCTTTTCTGAAAATAATGGCTTTAAATAATGGTTTTGTCAATGTTAATGCGTCATCCAGTTTTCAAGAAGATCCAAATAATTTTGTAGAAAAATCTGTACAGTATTGATTTTTGAAGCTTGAGTTAAGATAGTGGTATCGGCAAATAAGGCGATATTAATATGAGATTCTTTTAGTATGTCCTGAGTATATATATTGTAAAGAAAAGGAGAGAGAATGGAGCCTTGAGGGACACCTGCAGTAATGTTTCTTGTAGTAGAGAAGGTGTTTCCAATTTTGACAGCACTGTCTTAGAATCTAACAACCTCAGTTTCAATAGACAATCTAATTTGCATGCTGGGGTGGAAACAGAAGGCAAAAATGACAGTAAAGATCCAAAACATAAATGGTTAATGAAAAATAACAGCAACCTTACAGCTTTTTTAACTGGATATGATGAAGATGAAAGATACCAACTACAAATCAAAGAAGCTAATACTGTTATCTGTTCGTATGATGTTATATTTAATAAGGAGCTCACTAATTGTAAAGAGAGGGTACAATTACTTTTTCAAGATCAAGACAGACTAGTTTCCAGCTCTGAACATCAAGAAAATTCAGAGGTAAGCTTTTCAGCAAGGAAGATAATTCATAAAGAGACCACAATAAAAAAAATATCTAAAAACGTATCAGATGAAGACTCTGGAGAACAAGAATGTGAAAATATTAATTTACAAAATAATGCACAGTCAATATACCAACAAGATAAGAGCTCAATTAAGAAAGCCAACACGTTTTGAAGATTATATAATAATAAGTGAAGCTTTTATTGCTGATTCTAAACAGCTTTGTATTTACAAAGAAGCTATCAACTGCAAATAAAAGGTACATTGAAAAGAAGTTATGCATTCAGAGATAACATCATTCATGGAAAATGTAACATGGATTTTTGTGGGTTTATATGATTAAACAGAATTCTGATGGATCAATTGATAAATTTAAAACTAGACTTATAGCTAAAGGGTTTACTCAACATTCTGGAGCTGACTATGATCAAGCACTTAATCCAATAAAAACAGTAACAAAATTAGAAACTGTTCCTTCAATTCTTAATACTGCAGAAAACGAAAAAAACACATTTTACTGGTCTCATGTCTGCTCAATGTTCATATATAAAACACTTGAAGAATATGCATGCAACGATCAGAACACAGATGGTTCTGATAATGTCTACAAACTGAAATGCAGTTTATATATTCTAAAACTAGCATCAACTGTTGAAATAAATATTTTGGAGATTTTGTGTCAAAGCTTGGCTTCAAGACAAGTGAAGTTGATTCATGCTTATATATATCAAACAAAAGTGACAAAAAGCTACTTGTATGCTTTATGTAGATGATGGTTTGGTTCCATCAACAGATCTACTAGAATCTGAAACATTTCTTACAGAACTGAAATCAAGATTCAGAATCACAACTAAACCAGCAGTATACTTTCTTGGACTTGAAATTAAGCATCAGAATTAGTCAACAAGATAAATTCTCCAAAAATTTGGGATGGAAGATCACAAACTAGTGTCAACTCCCATACTGAAGGAAAGTTTATTTCAAAACAAGAAGAAAGATGCGTCAAACAGAGAAATTTTCCATGTAAGAGCTTTAACCCTTTGCGGCATGGGCACACCTAAAAAATTTCCTTCTAAACGCATAGAAAAATTGAATGAAAATGGATTTGAAGGTTACTATAGGTTAATCTGAACCTTCTTTATTTATAGTAGATGGCAGCTCAACACAAACCAGTCCACATATTTTAGCCATGTTTAGTTTTTTTAAGACCCTCATTGTTCAATGAAATCTTCCAGATTTTTTTAGGGTATAAAAGGAATTGTTTGAAAGAAAATTTCTATGTTATTTTTTTGGCTGTATGCTAATCTCCTTATTCTATATTAGTTTAAAATTTTTACCTTGAAATCTTGCCTAAAATCGAAAGGCGAACCGAGGTGTTCCCAGACTGGACTGGGCTCACTGCGAGTCTAGGTCACTGAGAGGCAGCTGTATCTTTGTTTCTCTGCAGCTCGTCAGTCAGCTCATTAACATAGAGAAAGGTGGGTCCACATCTGTGTTTCTTTCCTGTTTTTCTCTATCTTCGTCCCCCTTTTTTTTCCTTGAAGGCGATATTTGGTTATGAACTAAGAAATTGTTGGGGTGATTTTCTGAATGTCAGGGATAATTTTCTCAGTTAGCTGTTTGGTTTTTCACTACAGCAGCTCTCTTTTTCTCTTTTACTTTCATTCAAAGAAGTTTTTTTAGCACTACATTTAATAGTTTTCAGTTGTAGACATTTATATTTTTATTTTATAGTTTATAATTTCAAACTGTAGATAAATATTAGTTTATTTTTTTGAATTTTTAATTACAGTCAAAAGTCGTTAATCCGGACTTGTCGGGACTGCGGCGATTCCGGATTATTGATCATCAGTTTAAATCTGGTAAGATAGCATGCAGAAATTATAAAATTAAAAATATGAAACCGTAATTATTTCTGAAATAAATAAAGAACAATTATGATCTAAAGGATATCAAAATTAAAAAAAAAAAAAAAAAAAAGAGCTTAATATTTATTTGTTTACATCTGCCCTGAAGATAAGGATAGTGTAGACAGATCAACTTCCAATTCATTGCGCGCCGTTCGCTTTGTAGATCCTTTACATATTAGTAAATATATATCGGAAATTCTATTTGACATAATTGAAAGTTCAAGCTTACTTTTATAAAATTGCTCTAACAGTCTGCAAAAAATAATAAGCTGGATCCAATTAGAAGATTAAGGAAAAACGTAATCTGCAACATCAACTGAAATAGATACTTAGATAATTTTAGCTTAGCTTATACCGTCTGTTATACATTAAAAGCGCATGTGTAAACGTATTATGCACATGCGCACTCGCATATTGACGTATGCACAGAAAGTTTGTAGCTTTGAGGTCCAGATTATACATCATTCCGGATTATGGGTGTCCAAATTATCGACTTTTGAGTATATTTTCCAAACGGATCGGAGAGGGCTGACCATTTCTGAAGCACTGAAAGTGGTGCACGATTTACTTTCAGATAGTGAATCTGATACGGATCCCAACACATATGCAAACCATGCAATATTGGGTTGTGCTTTTCCAATGTCACTTTCTTCAAAAACTACTACAATGGAAAAAAAAAAAAAAAAAAACTAAAGTGTAAATATGAAATGTAAACAATGCAAATATCATATACCCAAGTTACTTCTTTTTTTTCCATTTATAAGCTTGTAATCATCATATAACCAAAATATGAGCTTTTGGGGGGGGGTGTAGAGTAGCAGATCTTGTCATGGCACACCCTGGGTAATGTTAAATTTGCTATGGTATTCAGAATCTAGTTTTTTTTTTTTTTTTTTTTTTTTTAAATCATAGGCAAAATCTCTTACTCTTTTATGCGCTTCCCCCAATGCTCGCTTCAGCACTCTTTTTGAAGCTCTATTCAATCAGTGAGAGCGGGCACACCCACAGAATTAATACGATAAATGCTATCTTTACAAAATTTTACTTGTATACCTAGGCCTAATTAAACTGCCTACTTCTTTTTAATCAAAATTCCAACTTTAAAAGGTAGCATGTTGGAAAGGGTTAATGTATCTTATGTTAGGTAAAGACCACACAGATTTAGAATACTGTGTTAGCATTCTTTCAAATCACCTTGAAAGTCCTTCAAAAGATGACTCAATTAAAGTGAAACATCCATTCAGATACATAGCAGGCTCTCTCACTTAAGTCAAAACATACAATAATAAATGCAACACAGAATACTGGAGTGCTATACAGATGCAGATTTAGTGGGAAGTCAAGAAACAGTGAAATCCACAAGTGGAGTAGTGGTATTATATAGTGGTGGAGTTATATTATGAATCAGCCAAAGGCAGCCAGTTGTTGCCATTCTGACAAATGAAGCAGAGATAATTGCAGCTAGTGAGTATTCTAGGGAAGTAATTTGGCTGAAATGACTATTTAGTGATGTTACCAATTACATGAAGTTTCAATAATTCAAGTAGATAATATCTCTGCAACGAAACTGTCATAAAATCCCGAGTTTGACTTGATGTATAAAACACATCGATTTCAATTTTTTTTTCCATATCAAAGTTCTAGAAAAGCAAATCATTTTGTAACATATATCTACAGGTAAGCAAGTTGCTGACATAATGACTAAGCCAATATTTAATCTGACATTGTTGATTCTTTGTGAAATATGGAAATCTTGCAACTCCTAGTTTATAATTATTATTGTTTTTTATTGACAAGAGTTAGTGTTAAAGTATGTTATGCTAAGAAATATTAATGTTTTGTTAAAATTATAAGTTTTGGATACACAGTGTTTTATTGTCATTCGGAGTTAACTCGCTCGTATTTAACGATGCTGTGAAGTTCCCATTATGAAGTTATTTTAGTAATTCCAATCAAACTTTTTATTTTTGTTTTAGTTTTAGAAACTAAATGCTTAACCACTATAAAAAAATATCTACAAATATACATTCTGTAGGTAATTCGAACAATTACCAACAACTACACTTTCTTCAATTTCTAAAAATTTCATATATAATTTACATTGCACAGCTTCAAATAAACAATTTTATATCAACTTTTGGGAGAAGGGAACACAACTGTCAGTTTTTATAGAAGTATATCATAAAACAGATATATTTATAAATTTTTAGGGAATAAATAAGCACACTTATAAGAAACCTGTGATTGATACATTTTAGAAACTGCTACAAATTTCCAAACTATTTACTTAAAAAACTATGTATAAACAGATCTAAAATAAATAATACTTATGAAATGCCTTAATATTCTTCTATAATGAACAAAACCCCATTAGCATTTCTGATGCTACTAATTGAAAATTTATATGCTTATATGCAAATTCAAATATTAAACAAATGTTAAATAAAGAACTGAATGCATTAATATTTTTATAAATTTCAAATAAATCAATTTGACCTGATAATACACTATAAATTTGAAATCAATCAAATATTATGACTCAGATAATCCACAATTCAGGTCAGTCTTGGTCTTAAAAAATGTGACTCTATATGCACTATGTGAGAAATCTATTCAGCTTCAATTTCATTAGAGCGATACTGTCATGAAACGTATAGTAGCTCATTTATCAGCAACATCTAGGCTATCGATGCAAAGCTTCCAAAATTTATTTTGAAGCCCGTACTTTAGAAAACAAATTACAAGAAACTCTTATTAAAAGTTGATGAACAGAATTTTAACACATTGATAACAGCTAATTTTAATATTATCACTTTTAGAAGAATCCAGTAGTTAATATGCCAAAAGCTTCCCGGCATATCTGTAATTCAAATATAATTTCACAATTCCTAGTTTTGACTATACGTTTCTGCAGGCATTCAAAAATTTGTTATATTAACAAAAACACTCGCACCAACAGGAAAAAAAACTGTACACTCTGCTGAATTCAAAGCTAGCTGCACATTTAAATTTCGATTACCATTAGCGTATTAGATCTGTTATCAATATTCATTTACTAAACAATCGAAAAGGGATTAAAAAAAAAAGACTTGCCACAATTTTATATTCCCTACTGATTACGAAATTACTAAACGTTTGATAAACATTCGTATAAAAGTACAGAGATCAGAATCAAAATAATAATAACCCCACCATCTACAACACCTTAAAAAAAATAATAACGGGAAACTCGCGTTACTCAAGGCTGCCCAATTCATACAAAATAACAAAAATATAATATCTGGGATATTTAATCTTAACAAGTACAATAACAGAACATATACCTGATTTTTTATCATGTTTAACACATTGTATTAAAAAACGATTCTTGGTAAAGAACCATAACTGTTGATTTCAGTATCTAGTCACAAATGCTGCCAAACTCAAGAAAAGCATTTTAAAGAGGACATACATCAATGGCAATAAAAAGTTTCAAATTTTAACCTTAGTCTATGTACTATAAAACGAACAGATTATATACGAAATTAAATTTACGGCACGTTTCTTTTTATATAACATCACATACAAATCTTTCTTCCAGTTATTTTTTCAACCGCCATGTCGTTGATAACCAAGGAGGTTAGAATAGCCTCCTTGTTGATAACCGTCATTGCACGAACCGTCGTCAAGTAACCGTGTGTTTGATAGGCAGACGACGTTTGTTTCTATTATGATGAGTGTTTGCTTTATGTTTGGAGTTTACGTTTTGATATTTTTTATTATTCTGCTGTTAATATATTTTCGGACTAAAAAGCATTTACATTTTAAAAAGCTCACTTGGCAAAAGAAGCATTCTTGTGTAAAGTCTGTTGGGTTTTTTCATCCATATTGTAATGCCGGTGGTGGAGGAGAACGTGTATTATGGACAGCTGTTCATGCAGTTCAAAAAAAGTAATTTTTATTATCTCTCAGCTCATTCCTCTCTCTGTAATACACGTACGAATTTTTATTAACTTTGAATGTAATAAATCAAGATATTAAGATAAATTTTGATATTAAATATTAAAAAAAAACACTTAAGTTATCACGAATTCTGTCTTAGACTGGAAAAAGAAAATTACCCTCCAATTGATTTCAAATTCAGTTTCAGTTAAAATACAATGCTGTATGCAAATTGGTTGCTAAATGCATCTTGCCCAAAACAATCTTGGGGGAAAGTGCAGAATCACCCACTGCTTGGCACGTTTTTAAGAATTGCACTAACTTGGTATCCATGTACACATCGACCTATTTTCACTTTAAAAAAATCCCAGAATTGCACAAAAATGGCATTGCGCCCTCCCTTGACTTTATCCATGTACGTATGGACCTATTTTCACTTAAAAAGTCAAAGAAAATTGACAAAAAAACAATTCTTCTTACACTTGTAAAGCGCCAAACAAATAAGGTGGCGATTTTGCACTTTACCCCAATCTTGAACAAAATTATGAAAAGACTATCGCATGAATATTCGTTGCTACAAGAACAATTACAGACATGTGTAAACATGTCAGTTACTTATCAGTTGCAGTAACAATTCTTTAAGATAAATCAATTTCCACTGATAATTTTTTTAAAAAAATGAATAAGGGATCCTCCCTTTTTTAATGGAAAATTATTGAAACATTTAAATTGCATTTTTTGTGAAAGATTATTGAAACATCTAAATTATCATTCAGCCTCTTTTTAAATCATTCTGTTATTTCATGCAAGTGGATGTGCATTCATTTTTTTAATTCAGGGTCAATAACTTGATGGGTGTTCTGTACATTATTTCTAATTGTCATCATTTACAGTCTCATACATGACAATTTGCAGTGTTTTATGTAATCTCCCACAATCTTTTAATTATGTAAGATGAATACTTAACTGATTATAGCCTGTGGACTGCTAGGGGATTTTTTTTTTTTTTTTTTTTAAATCTCAGAAGCGATACCTAGAGGGAAAGCATACTGTAAAAAATTGGCTTGTATTAATGTTACATGTAAAGAAAAATATTAAAATTTCATGTAACTGAACCTGTGATAAACTACTAATTCTCAGTGATCTGAACTACTCACTAATGAATGAATGTGCAGATCAGGGAGGATCACACTTCATGTCAACCAGAGTAACATGTTAAAATTCAGAAATTTTGAAAGCTGTAATTATATACTGTTGAAGATTTCACATTTTTAATTGATCTGGTTATTTATAAACATAAGTAATTCTCCTTGTACTTGTTTCGTATTCAAGAAAATTCAAGTCCTATGATACAAAATAATTTTCCTACCGTGTACTAATTTTTATTTATTTATAGATTTATTTTTAAAATAAGAAATCAAGCATTTTCTTTTGATTATAATTGTCAGTTGATTTTATTCACAGTAAATTGAAATGAAAAATTGATGTTGTGTATACAACAGCATTAAAACTTACTCAAATGAAGCATTAAGCAGTAACATGAAGAAAAAAACCAGTAGCTGGTGACCATCTTCTATGGTCATCTTCATTGGTTAGTTTATTAATCCTCTGAGTGGCCAGGGGTTTTGTTAACAAAGCACAAATTTCCCAAAACTACAATGAGAACAAATTATTTTTTTGATTTTAATGTAAAAATTCTCCTAGTATTTCATACCTGGATTTGTTTTCTTTTGATATATCACCTTTATTTCTTTGACATATTTGAATATGCACATCAGCTAAGTTTTCTTTTTATTGTGCAGTTACAATTGTATATATTTATGGAGTTACTCGATAATATTCAATGTACGTATTGTTAATGCAGTATATTGCTAATGTATTTGTCATTTCTGCTCGCTGAATAACCTGTAATACCTAATTCTAAGACTGCTATCATAATGGTAATAAATCTTAGAGATGTAGTTACTTACCAGTTATTTAATCTGTAATAAATAGTACATGGCATGCTCATTTTGAAACTATTATACCTATATATTGCAATTAAAAAAATTAAATTATTAATTGTGAAAAAGTATCTCACAACTATCGGATGATAATTATGTGTTTCAAAATTATAATTGTTGCTTGGTTTAGTACTGGCTGTATCTTGTGGAACCAACATCTGTATGTTGACCATGCCTGGTATAGATCTTTTAGTATAAAGTTATAATTCTTCAGTATGAAAATGCAACTCATAATGAACAGTGATCTGTGTAATTAGGTAGTTTAAATTCTGTTTTGTTAAACTTTTAGGTTAGTGTATTTTTTAAGGTGCCCCTTGAATTATCGCCAAGTTTTTGTTATATTTATGGTAACCTGAGCATTTGAATGTGATGGAAACCCTATTATGACATGATTGGTTGCATGATTACAGTGAATTTGACTGATGGGAAAATATTTGTAAGGGCTTATTTCTGTTTTGGATTCCAGTTAGGAAGTACATTGCTTATTTTGTGTTGTACGCCGTAAAATGGCTGTATGTGATGATATTAATCTGAAGTTTCTGTATGATTTGGAATGGAAGAGGAAAAAAGCCTTAATTGGCTGGTGTGTAAATGAAGGTTTACTTAGTAGTCATTATAAGTGTTCTGTTTGTATGAGGGAAATGCATATGGTTGAACATAAAGGTCGTTCAGATTGCTTTGAATGGGTTTGTCGCAAGAAAGGTTCATGCAGAAATGCCACTGGCAGTCTGGCACTAGGGAGGATATTTTTTACTCTTATTTTTGTGAATTTATGTGGTGATAGCAGTATGCATATTATAGTCAAGATCATTTTTGAAAGTTTTTGGATAATATTAAGAAATTTTGGCACAGTCTGGTAAGCGATAAGATGCATTTCCTTTTTTATGTTATTTCATTGTCTGATTTAAAATGCAGTTTACTGAGCTTCAATTAGCTACAAATTATGTTCAGTTTTGGTGATGAGTAATTTTGGTTTAACATTATATGATGTCATCATTCTCCTGATTTTCTTAAGTGAAAATAGATTAATGTGTACATGGATGGATAAGTCAAGGGGGTGTGCAATGGTGAGTCTGCAATTCTCTGATTTTTTTTAAAGTGAAAATAAATCAATATGTACATGGATACAGAGTTTGTGTAAGTCTTTTACTTGTTATTTTGGTTTTGTGTAGCGGGCATCTTGAAATTGTGCCTTGCTGGCCAATCACCAGTTTTCGCCAAGGAGCACCCTTAAACGTATTTTTACGAACTTTTAATTTAAAAAACAAAACTTTAATGAACTAATAAATTTTTGCTATACATTGTGCTCTTTTAATTATATAATTTGTCCTAGCTTTTGGCTAATAGATTGTTATTATTTCACTGCAGTTGCACATAATCTCAAAACATATTATTCATAAAGACTTGTATAAGCTGTGAAATACAGCAAAGTCCAACATCCAGAATCTTCATAACCCTGGCAGTTCAATTTCCAAGGTTTTAGCTCATAAATTAAAAAAAAAATATTACATGTCGAAGTTATAAAATTTAGAATATGAAAAATTGTGAAAAAAAATCATTTATGATATTATGGAAACCGAATTTAATCAAGAAATGTATTTATGTATGCCTGTATGTATATTTTGCTCATGTATATATGTGTGTGTATACATACACACACATATACTTACATTTCTGATGACAGAATAGTCACAAAATTTTTTCTTAAAAGTTGTTTACGAAATTTTATTTTATGTGTCAATACTTTCTCATTAATTTTATAGACAGATGTAATTGCTTCTTCTCTTACCAAATGCAGCTACCTGTATCTTTTAAAGCATTTTAAAAAATATCTGTTAACTTGTTCTCTTATGACCTTAATATGCAACCCCCCCAATCCCGCAAGAAGGTTTTCTATTACCAATAGTAGATTTTAATATAAACAATTAAGATTACAATTGCATCGATTTTTGAAAAGGCTATTTTGTATCTGCATTACAGTGCTCGCATAATTCTGATTAATGATGATCATCATCTGATTTGTCGTTTGTTGGATATCAATTCAAGGCAGATTAAATGAAGTGTTTTCTTTTACCAAAACGTTTCTAAGCTAACAGTGGAAGACTAATTGTACCAGAATAATAAACCTGGATCAAGTGTACACCCGTTAAGGAAAAGTGCAGTTTGTAGTGTTAGCTAAGCTTAAGTTAGACAGAATCGAATTCTTTCTTTTTCTTCTCTCTTATACAGTGAAAGGAAACTTAACGGAGGTCCTCTGAATTTTTTGATATTATTCTCAGTTTACACCAAAGTCAATGGTTAAATTTTAAAATATGAACTATTTTAGCCAAGTAGATGATTTTTTATTGGCTAATTGCATGTAGTTTAGCTTCAAATAATTTCGGCATAAAATGTGTTGCACAAGCCATTCTCCTGCTATGTTTTCAGTGGGATTAAATCAAGAAGAAGTGGTTTATGTCTACAGACTTAAAGGAAAATCCACTGTACTTTCTGATTCATTTTATCAGTTTCAGAGATACATTTGGAAAGGAACACCACTCAACTTCACATACTATTTCAGTGTAATCGCTAATGTATTCAAACGGAGATGCCAGTGCAGTCGCGCCGTGATCTGCTGGCCCTACATAAAGATTATGAAGAATTGTGCAATGAAAAAACTAGCTTCGTTGAGTCCCCATAATTGAACTTTCACTAAAAAGATGAGCATGGTCAAAATCAAAAGACCCCGCAATACTTAAAGATGGTGACCATCTTCATTATTTCTAAATCATAACTTAACTGGTGATGAACTGTACCTAAATTTTTGATGTTCTGACACGTTAAGAAAGTAGTCATTTCTTTGATATGTTCCCCACGACATGGGTAAAAGACCACATCCAGAAAAAGGAGAACTACAGTCAAAGTCGTTAATCCAAACTGTTGGGCGTCGGGTTCCGGAGTATCGATTTTTTCCGGATTATAGATCATCATTAATCTCGTCAGCTGGCATGCAGCAATTCAAAATTAAAATACGAACGTATTTAATGAATCAAACAATGATGATCTAAAGGGTATCAAAATTACAGAAAAAAAAAGCTTAATTTTATTTGTTACTTTATTAAACCTTTCTTTCAATGTCAGTGTTTAAGTTGCTTCGGTTTTATTGAAATAATACTTTCTTCTCGAACCAGACATAATTTCTTGTTCAGTTACAAAGTTCCGCTGTTCAGTCCCGAATTGCTGTCCGAGAATATCTCTAACTTGTCAATCGAATTGTTCGTTTCACTAATTCTGTCACTTCTCATGCTTTCTCGATTTTTTGAGCATTCCCTTTTTGTTTGATGGACATCGAACATATTTCGTTTTGTAGATCTTTGGGGAGCTCCTTCATCGGAAATCTTTTTGACATAGCGAAAGCAATTTACTTTTATAAATGGGCTCTTCCAGCTGCACAAAATATAAGCTGGATCAATTCGAAGATTAGGTGAACACCTCAATCATCACCTGAAATAGATCTTAGCTAATTTTAGCTTATACCGTCCATTTACATTAACCGCGCCACGCTAAACGTATTCTGCTCTTGCGCACACGCAATGCGCAGTCTTAAAGGTCTTACCCCCGCGCACGGTAAACCGCCTATGAGCAGGTTTCACGCGGCGCATGTGCAGAAAGGTTTGTAGCTTGTAGGTCCGGATTATGGTGTCCAATTAACACTTTGACTCTTATTGTGGCATTTTTCTTTCAGAAGTACAGGACTGTTAAGGCTCTAGCTGTAGGCAGAAGAGAGTCACAACTATCACCACTTGCTCCAGACTTCTCACGAAGTGAATGTTGAAGATCATGCTCCACCATGGCGTTTCCTTTTCCTACCCGTTTTTCTTGCATCTTCCGCTGAACATCCCAATTCCTTTCACCTATTCTCTCTTGTACTTTAACTCTACAAGAATTATGTTATGAACTGTCACTGAAGACAATGAGAATCTTGAATGTGTATTCCCGCGCCGCTCTTGAGCCTTTTTCCTTGAAAAATTCGTCTATAAGAAGTGCAACTGATTGGAGGAGACTGTTTGCTCTTTTTTTTTTTAGCAAACTGTGACATCTCGAAAATTTCCGAGTGACCCGCATATGTGCAAAATTCCACTCCAAACACTGATTTTGGGAGCCCTGTAAACAAACATTTATTATGTGTAGGGTTAGATAAGATAGAAAAGTGTTGCCATCTACAACCATTTGGTAGTCAAAAGTGAAAGTCTGATTTGTTAGTCAGCAGGTATTTAAAGCTGAAAAAACACGTACGATGATTCAGTATTATGGTAGATCAGCTAATCAGAATAAAAATTTCTGGCACACTTGCTTTTGCTTGAGTATCATATTATCCATTCTCATACTCTGTGAGAAAAAGGAGAAATTTTCAAAAAAGTATTTTGTAGAAATCTGAAGATTTGATTCCTTGAGCTTCAGATTTCAGATTTTGAACTTTGTACTGTATTGTTCTGTGTCATATATGTATGCTTTTTAATGTGAAAATATGCTTAAATAATAGGTAATGTCCTATAAAATATGTAAAGATTTTTTAGAAGACAGATGTAAAAGATAAGTTGCATACACACAGCACACACACCCCACACACACCAAAAAAACAAACAAAAAAAAAAAAATTAAAATATTTTTATGTAAAGTTGTATTGTGGTTTGAAAGTCTGTATATGGCTAAATGTGTCCAACAATTGTTAGTGCTAGAAAAATATTTCTTCAAAAGATTTGTGTAACGATCATAATAATTTCTTCCTTTTATTTCAGATATAAAGATGTGCACTGTCTCATATATACTGGAGATGTAGCAACATCAGATGAGATTCTCAAAAATGTTGAATTGCATTTCAATATCAAGCTATCACGGCCAGTTGAATTTATGTTTTTGAAAAAGCGTTATTTTGTTGAAGCCAGATATTATCCATATTTTACTTTACTTATGCAAAGCCTTGGTTCTGTTATTTTAAGTTTAGAAGCCATTTTTAAACATGTTCCTGATATTTATATTGATACTATGGGATATGCATGGACACTTCCAGTATTTAAGTATCTTGGAGACTGCCGTATAGCAGCATATGTTCATTATCCAACTATTAGTACAGACATGTTGCATGCTGTGTCAGCCAGAAAAGTTACTGTAAATAACAGAATATTTATATCTAAGAGCACTTTTTTTTCATATTTAAAGTTATTGTACTATACAGTTTTTGCCTATTTATATGGTCTAATGGGTAGGCATGCTGAAATAATAATGGTCAACTCTTCATGGACAAGAGGACACATTTTAGAATTATGGAAGAAACCTGCATGTACTTTTATAGTATATCCTCCATGTGATGTGACAGAATTTGAAGTTATTCCATTGAAAAAGCATATAGATAAAAACAGTTTGAGAATTATTTCTATAGCACAGTTTCGACCTGAAAAAAATCATAAACTGCAATTAAATGCATTCCACAAATTTTTACAGAATGTTGGCATTGGTGATAATTCTGTTACATTAGTTCTTATTGGAAGTTGCCGAGATGAAGAAGATCATCAAAGAGTGCAGGATTTAAAAGATACATGTAAAACGTTAGGTATTTCAGAAAATGTAGAATTTAAAATTAACTTAACGTTCCAAGAAATTATACATGAAATGCGAATGGCCAGTCTTTCACTTCATACAATGTGGAATGAGCATTTTGGAATAGGTAAGTTTTACTTTATTACAACCTAAGTATAATACGAGGTGGTATAAAAAAGTTTTGAAACCAATTTTGTAATATGCCAACAGATGGTAGCACAAGGCTCCACACACAGGCAGAGTCGTAGGTAAGGTTTTCAGCACCTGGGGACAGGTGAAGTTTTCGTGCTCCCTCCTGTTTATTAAGAATGGAAAATATTAATTATGAATTTCATAACATCAGTTTGGCTTACCCTGGATGCTATGCCCAGGGACAGATGTCCCTTCTTGCTCCTTCTAGCTATGTCCCTGCACACTGGCATAGGGAGTGTCCAACATTCATAAGTCAGTGTGCCAAGAGACATTGTCCTGTGTAAATCAGAAGCTATGCAACTGATGCTATTCTGACCCACATACATTACCACATCTGTAGCAAGTTAGATCAATGAACAACGTGAAATTCTGGGTGAAACTAGGCAAATCTGCCACAGAGATGCTGAATCTTGATGACATCCGAAAATGTCAAAACCATTCAACAACTTGTACCTTAGGATCATTCAAGATCACTCCACAACATTGATGACATTGTCGGTGTGTCACATAGAACAGTGCAGCAGTTTTCTTGTGTGATTTTGAACATGCACCATGTTGCTGCCAAGTTCATTCTCAGGCTGCTGACCCAGGAACAAAAGGAATACTACATCAAAGTATGTTAAGAACTATGTCAGCATGTCATGGATGACCCGTCCTTCATGTTGAGAATCATTACTGGTAATGAAACTTGGGTGTATGGGTACGACTTTGATACATATGTATCCTATTTTATATCCTAGGAGATCATAAAAATTCTGTTGTCATTACCTTCATTCCATCAATTAGCTATAAAGTTGCACATATTTTGCAGAAATTTAACTTTTGGGTTGTTTATTCTCCCATCCGAGTTCCATCTCAAGGACCCTTCGATGTGAATCCTGGGGTATTTATAGGATCCTTGCCAGTGTGGGTTATTTAATTGGCCAACAACGAGCCTTAAATTCGCGTCAAGGAACTGAGGCATGTTAGAAAAAAGGAAACACAAGTCTTCGTGGTCGAATCACACTTCAATTTTGCTGCTGCCAAAATTATCAAAAAACATCCTCCATTGGAGAACTGGATTTTAGGCATTTCACATTCAAAAAAATCTTTCTGTTCTAGTTAACGATCTAATTCCAACCATCTTTGCCATCAGCCTTTAAAGAAATTTGTTTGGGGGTTCATCAACAGAGGGCACCACTTGCTTTTTGCAGGCTTCTTCTTATAATCATGATTCCTATCTTACTCTTTGCGGTGGCAGCTGAGGATGGGTCGGTAAAACCATCGAAACAGTCCTGTGAAAATTTTGAAATTAACGCGGATTTTTGCTGTTTGACTTCTGAATAGTTTTATTCGGCGTTATTGTGTCTTTATATAATACCAAATTTCTTCTCATATTTTCCCTTTTCCTACTAATTTAATACTTTTAACTAAATGGGACACATACGGATGTTACGACAGGCAAAATTCGGAAGCCGGCTCGTCAAGACTTCGGCGAGGGTTCCGGATATAGATCAGCATTTTAAAGCTGGAAAGGCATGCATAATTATAAAATTAAAAATATGAAACTGTAATTTCTGAAATAAAGAGCAATTATGATCAAGGGTATCAAAATTTACAAAAGAAAAGTATATTTGTTGTTACTTTATGAACATTTCTTTCAACGGCGCGCATACATTATGCAATTTTTGTACGCATACTGCATACATTACGCATAGTCAAATTAAAAATTGCAACCAGAAACTATTTGATGTGTATTCGTGATTTTATAATGACAGGAATTGATTTAAATCATATTAAGACGGAGTCTCGAGATGAAATACTCATTAGTAAGGAATATAAGCCAATAAAATAAAAACTCTCCCTGAAGAGAATGCTAGTGCTGACAGATCAACTTCCAGTTCATGCGCGCCCGACGCCCCCCCCGCCGCCAGAGCACCGTGAATTGATAAACAGATTTCGGAATGGTTAGAGACCGTAGGATATGCCTTTATAAATTTTTTTGCAGCAATTCCACTATATGTTTAATGGACATCGAAACATGGTTTCGCTTTGTAGATCCCTTGGGAGCTCTAGAATTGGAAACTCTTTTCGACATAGTAGAAAATTCAAGCTTAGCTTTTATAAAATTGCTGTAATAACAACAGTCTACAAAAAATAATAAGGTGGATCAAACTAGAAGATTAGTGAGCAGCGCAGTCCGCTACATTAACGAAATGCCTTAGAATCAGTAAAGATAATTTTAGCTTAGCAGTCCGGAATAAAGGGGCAGCAGAAACGAAGGGCCATGCAAAATTATGTTATCATGTTCAAAAAAGGTATTATGCACAGGGACGCATGTGCAGAAAGTTGTAGCTTCGGTCCGGCTTAAGACTTGGTCTAAAGGCTAGCTGGACGGTATTCTAATGATATTTAGCACAAAAAGACACATAAAGCTTCAGGGATAATGCATTTACATTGGCCAAAATCGAAATTCAAGCATAGGGTGGAAAAGCTAGGAATAATATGGATATAAATATTGTAGCCCGTGGGCAGGCACCACAGGGACACAGCACCACAGGCGGAGTTTGTTCCGGGCTGGGCAAGGTCGAATCAGTTCATCCTTGACCCATCACTTGGGTTTAAAATAGTCCAAGTTCATTTGGGGACTAAACACTAGGAGTCCTGTAACAAGCTGACCACTTGTTCAGGGCATATGCTTACGCACCCGGGGCCCACGGTCAAGAAAGCAGGTTTCGGGCACTGCAGGCCTTGGCCTACTGGGGCTGTTACGCTACCGAGTTTAGTTTTTTAAAAAATATTGTAGATGGTCACTATGTCTTCTTTTTCAGTTTATTCTTATTAAAATTAGCACTGCTTTCGAATTAATCATCCAACCCAACCGCAAAGGCACTGCCAATACTGGCAGCTAATTTTTTGCCTACCTAACACGTGAAAAACAGTAGTCAATTTTAAAAATATTGGCATCCTGAAAATTATGTAAAACAGCAATGAATTTATGAAACTGAAAATGCAAGAAACATCAATAATGAAACACTGAAAATTACATAAAACACAACAAATTAGTAATTAATTAAAAATGCAACAAACATCCGTAATAAAATGCTTAACTTTCCTTTTTCCCATTCTTCCGCCCATATACACAGTGATTTGTTTTAATTTTTTTTTTTTTTTTTAAAGAGAATTGCAGAATTCTTGCCACTGCTATCCATGTACATACAATCTGTTTTTACTTTTAGAAATTTTAGAGAACTGCACAAATTCATGCCATGCACATTATTACACTCTCTATTATTAGGCAAAACAGCATATTTCTGAAAAATAATTCTGCACACTAATCGCGAGAAATAGAAACCACAAACATGACTTCCGAATTTCAAAATTATGCACATTACTACCACCTCCAAGTTAAATGGTATAATGGTGCACACAGCCATTAGTGGGTTGCCAAATAAATACATTATTTTGGCAATATAGTGCTTTGTCCAGTGTTTGTTGTTAAGGTTGGGCATATTATCCAATAGCTGATAATAATGGTAAATTAGCACATACTAAGAATCACAGGGAAAATATTTGACTGCTTATCTAAAAAAAGCATGTTCAGTATATTGTATAAAAGTATAATTTGTATTTTCTAGAAATATACTTTTCCAAATGCTCATTCTGAAATTGCTTGAAATATACGAGGGCATATCGAAAACTAAGTTGCACTAACTCACTGCAAAACTAAGTTGCACTAACACACTGTGCTGTGTGTGGTAATTTTGGGCAATGCAGAGAAAGGGACTGCTCAGATTTCGGATAGGAATGTTGGTGCGGTTTCCTATCTTGTGTGTGGATAGTGGGCTAAAATCAATGGCGCATCAACTGGATGTTCATTCCAAATTGGACGTGTGTGCAACAGTCATATTCCTATGGGCTAACTGGATGAATTGCACAGACTGCTTGAAATCGCCGCTGTATATGGTGAGCGCACAATTTCTCGATAAGGTATTAGAAAGTAGTGTCAAGAATTTAAAGTTGGACGCACAGATATCACGGACGAATATCGAGAAGGAAGGCCCACAACATCCAGTAACTTTGCAAATGTTGACAGTCTGTAAGCGATCATTCGCATAAAACTGCGGGAAATTTCCAGCATGCTGAACATTTCACATGGCAATGTGTTCTCCATTGTTCACGAGGATCTTGGATTTCAAAAAATTGTCAAAGATGGGTCCCACATCTTCTCACCGATGATCACAAGAGACAACATTTTGAATCCTCACTGGCATTTTTGCGATGGTATTCTGCAGAGGGCAATTAGTTTCTAAGGTTAATCATCACAGGGGGTGGGTCCACCACTTCACGCCCCGAAATGAAGAGAACATCGATGGAATGGGTGCACACCTTATCACCACAACGAAAGAAGGCCAAGGTCTAACCATCAGCAGGAAAGGTGATGGCGACAGTGTTCTTTGACATGGAGGGTTTGGCGCAAGTGGTATTTATGCCGAAAGGAACAACATTCAACTCGGCTACATATTGTGAAATGTTGAATCGATTGCGTAAAGCAATTAAAGAGAAACGGCGGGGAAAATTGAGTGATAGTGTGATTTTGTTGCATGATAGCGACCTCACAAGGCCTGCCAAACGTGCGACTTGCTGCAGCGATTCAAGTGGGAAGTATGGCAGCATCCTCCATACAGTCCTGATATAGTGCCATGTGACTTTCATGTTTTCGGTAAGCTTAAAAAGGATCTCGGTGGACAACGATTCCAAATTGATGAGGAGTGAAAGCAGCTGTCTCCATGTGGTTACATAGCGCTGAAGGAGATTTCCATGCATTCGAAATCTAAAAGTTGGTTTTCTGTTCAGAGAAATTTTTAACTTGGGAACTATGTGGAAAAGTGAACTTACATTGTATGTTGTCATAGCCGTGTTGCTTTTGTATAAAAAATTTAATAAATGGTCATA